ATAATGAAAAAAAATACTCAAATTATTTTCCGTTTCAGTAGTCAACTCAGTGGCTTGCGAAAAAGCCTAATGAATTGAGATCGACGGCTGTGAATGAAATACCGACCGATAATATCATATACATACATTTAGAATAAACTTAGGAACAAGTCGGAATTCGAGCTTAAGGGCATAAAAATTTCAGCAACGACAGACAAAATGGACTGTTACTGGAAGAACGTAAGGCCTGTTTGAAAAATCTGTTAAAGAATGATAATTCGTTTTAAACAGAGAGATCAGCACGATCTTCAAGTGTTATCAATCAATCAACTAATCAGTTTCGATGACCGCTCATCCTTCTAGGTCGTGGAGGCCCCTGCGTCCCTACCGTTCCCTATTCTGCACGAAAGTTTGAGCAGTAAAAAATCTGAAAACTGTCTTTCGGCACTATCGTCTCTTAAATAACCTTTAAGAAGTTTACAAACAATTTCAAACTCCGCCATTGCCGGTCCCAACCCTGTATGAGAAAAGAGGAGGGTTGGACACCGTGGCAAGTCTGCGTAAAATTCAGCCACCTGCAACTCATGGCATTGACGCCATCGAAAATTATACCAGCTCGGTCGTCGCCCCGGTTACCGCAGGCTGTTGGGGGACTGAGGCAGACTGCGAAAAGTCGGCGATCAGAACCTGCTCATTGACCTCTGCCACCTGGGGGCGTAGCAGAACAACGACGGCTGACGAAGATCGACGCAACGACGACAAAGATACCAGTCAGCAACGGAGACTCCACCCGTTCTGAATGGAGGAGGCAGACAGCGCGATGCCATTACAGCACGTCAGAAAAGGCTCCACGAAAACGACATCACCAGTGGGAGCTCAAAGCCGAAATTCGGAACATATCATCACTCAGAGGAAAAGAACATGAATTAGTTGATGAGGCCACGAAGTACCAACTCGACACTGTTGCACTCTCGTCAACAAAACGCCCAGGCTCCGAACTCCTGAACCTCAAAGGACGGAAGCTGTTCTACTCAGGCGTCGATATCACGACTCGCGTTCAGACCGGCGTTGGCATTCTGGTAGAACCCAACCTTGCCGATAGAATAATCGATTAGAAGCCTATCAGCGGAAGTGTGGTAATCCTCCGACTGAAACTACAACAGGCTAAATCGATGACCTTGGTAGTGGTCTATGCCCCCAATC